GAGTGATGCGTGTGGGATATCCAGGGTGATCCAGTGTATGTGAACAGTGAGATGTTTGGGCGCTGAAGTCGCCATAGCCAATTGAGAGTGAACTCGTGTCTGAAAGCCGTATCTCTGAGTTTTGAGTGGGCGCATGTCGCCAGTATGCTGCGTTGCTGTTTACATGCATGAAAAGTGTGTTTGAGAACGAGTCTGATTGCACCAGTTGGCCCTGCTAGTGATGGTGATACGAGACCCCACCACTAGCAGGCCATCCGTTGGCTCCGATCTATTGGTGGGGGAAGGAACACCTGCTGGAAAACGGGTCCAGCGTCCCTTACACAAAGTCATATACAGAAATGCTGCGAATAATGCAGATCTGGACACATACTTGGCTATATAACCAGCTTCCTCAGCCAACTACCGTCTTCACCCGAATAGAACGCCTGGTAATTATCGCCGTATCTGGGATGAAAGTTGGGCCAAATGCAGCTATGATGACCGGGCGTTCCAACTCCTCAATATGCTGCTACTGCTGGGTAACCTTACTTGGCTCTTTTCACCTGTCCCCTGCTATCGGGGCAACAACTTCCCCCGCCTCTCCCAAAAACAGCTGGTGGTGACCTGATGCTCTGGATTCTCCAACCTGCTTAAACTGCTCCATACCATTGTAAATCCACCATGGAGAGACGATGGGGCGGAAAGAGATCGGGGAACTCCAAGGGAGGGTGCAATGGAATTGCTGGATCCACCTTGGTCCAGTCCTTGAAGGACACAGATGGTGTAGTCCCTCCTGAACTTGTCGTGGCTATGCTCCGAGAGGTGTCCTCCTTCCCATGGAATAAAGGCTATATCCAGCCGCCTTGCTCATTCCCCAGCCAATCCGCTAAGAATTGTTCGATAGCTTGAGTTATATCCCTTTTCACAAGAATGAAAAAAAAGGAGGAAAAAAAAAAAGAAAGAGGTTTGACACAACTTTAACTGAGTTTTCACTTTCTGCCACCGTGCCTTGAGTTCCTCTTGAATGTATTGTTTAATATGTTTATTATGTTTAATCATTTCAGTAACTTCCTCTGCCTGTACTCTAACGCTTTCGATAGCGTGTGTGCATCGTTTGCGCCAGAGGGCCCAAATGACTGCTCTCCTCCCCGTCCTAAACATGTTATTATCTTCGAAAGCGCTATTTGTGGGGGAGGTCCATGCTTCGCACAGGAGCGCTCTCCAATCCCAGGGCCGTGTGGACCCCGTGCCTAGCTGCCTCCAGATCCTGTCCCACCAGCGCCATGTGAGGACCGCTCCTGGGCATTGTACGAATATGTGTTCTACGATCTCCAGAATCTTGCGGTACGGGAAGGTGGTCAGGCAGGACTTGCACCACGGCAGTGCCCGGCCTTTCTGTTCCAAGTACGTACAATCGCTTAACCAATCGTTCGTAGGGAGGCAGCGGTGCTCTGTCTGCCATTGAAGTGAGGCGAGTTTTGCAGGTTTACATCTTGTGGCCGTAAACCATCGAATGGGACGGACGGTGTCCCTCCCCACATTCAGGAGGGACATCCACCTCTTCCTCACAATTTCCTTAAGGTTGACCCTTTGGCCTCAGGAACCTGTACGCAGATTTGACAGTCAATTCGAGTCAAATTGACTGTCAAATCTGCCAAAGCTTAACCATGAGTTTCTGGACATTTTCTCCCTGACACACACTGACACACAGACCATGCACCGCGCATCTTTTGGCACACATGCTCGTAGTAGTCGTAATGTGGTTTTGAAGTGCACATCTTGTTCACGTTGACACACACATTTGGTATTGTGTACACAATACCAAGAACGGTCGCCGAGAACAAACGCTTAGAATGGCATCAGATGCCATTAGAACCATCATGGTTTACAGCTATATATAATTTAGATCAAACTTCATCAAAGTTCATTAGTTCAGGACCGTTCACGATGACTGAGTGAGGCCTGATCTAACCCTTTGCTTCGTACTTGGTGAATCCACCTCCGGTAGTATCAGCCTATCCGAGATGGAGGAGAAAGCTCGGTGCCTTACCGTAAAGGATCTTCGAGAGGCTTCCCTTGGATTTGTATTCATAGACCAACATCTTCTCGTTTTCATCTGAGCAGAAGCCGATCAAGTTCACAAGCTTTTTGTGACGAAGACGACCTAAGAGCTGATCATGAAAACGACGAGGTAAACGATCAGACAAGGCGCAAAAAAATCAGATAAGGTAGACGATCAGATAAGATAGACAATCAGGTAAAACAAACAACAATTCAGCCAGCAATTCACACCATCCTGACTGTGTTCCATCCTTGTTTATCATCACGTGCACTATCATTCCCATGGTCATTTTCTTGTTGCCACCGTTACCACCTTGTCACTATCCTCATCGTCTCCATCATCATCATCATCATCATCATCATCATCATCATCATCAATGATTCATCATCATCATCGTCATACGACTGCTTCGTCAACCTCTTATTATGTTTTGAATCTTTTGATCCCTTATGCAGACAGGTCTGCCTCGTCAAGTTTTCGGTGTTCTAATTCGCCTGAACAGTTTTCGGCTTTTCACGAATTTCGTTCGTAAATAAGTTTGCGTGTAGGAAGCAAGCTCCATCCCATGCCACAGCCTTTACTCCTCCTCAGTTTGGTGCCACATCCTCCTTATCATCATCCTCATCACCGACAGTCATGACAGTGGAACAACAACAGCAGCATGAGCATAATCAACATAAAAAAAATATCAGCATTCTCAACATCATCAGTTATCCTAATCATCGTCATCATTCTTCCTGCCCTACCCCATTGTATGTAATCATTTCCTGCCTGCAGCAGATAGAACATCTCCACTCATTTCCTTTTTAAGGAAAAAAAAAAGAGTGTTTCCATTCATTTCTACTCATTTGAAATTGGGGGATTGCATTCTTTTTTTTTTTGGCATTCTTAAGAAGCTGCATTGCTATGTTTCTCTATCTTCTGTGAAGCTAGAACCTAGGCTGTTTTTCTTGCCCGGCTGGGCAGCCGGGCATGTCACCCGCAGGGTCTGATGGCCCGGTTACCCAGGCATAGGAATAAGTGGCGTCATTTTTATTTATTTATTTATTTTTATTTTGTTGGCAGTGGGTGTTTTCATGCATGCCCAGGAGAGTGTTGGCTGTCAAGGGGAGGGAGGGGGGGGGGGGGGGGGGGGGTATAGACTGGTTTCAAAGGGGCTAAAGGGGTCCAAAAGGGTGGTGCCTTAGTCTGATTCTGTTATTTTCTTTTTTATCTTCTATTCCATGAGGAATTCTGATGTGACCCTCAGCCAAAAGTCGTTTGCAACTTTGCATTGCAATTCGATGGAACATTCTTTTCCCAGAAATTTTGAGTATTGATTCTATTGAATATTCTTTTTCTTAGTGGGGGCTGCCCGTATCACCCCTTCTAGTAGACAGCCAAGGTTTCCCCTCAAAACAAAAAGAAGAAGAGGAAGAAGAAAAACTTCAAAAAAAAAATACAAAAAGTTTTAAAAACTTTTCTTTTTTGCATTGGGGCTGCCCTGAACCCTGCCTGGGGGTTATGCCCTGCTGGGCACCTTGCCCGGTCAAGTTGGGGGGTGTGCCCAGGCACCCGGAAATACACCCTAGACTGGAACCCCTAGGTAAGTTTGATCGTATTAGTTTGCAAATGTACATGCACTTCACTACATGGCCTGTGTCACCCCTTTGCTTTCTTTGCTTCGTATACCCCACTGTTTCTTACCCCTTCACCCGTTCTCCCACTCCTCAGTAGTGAAGCCAGTGAGGTCAACCAGGCATCTGTCTTTTGTTTTGCAGAAGGGTTAGCCCTTAACATTATCAAATCCATCAGGACTTTACCTCCGATGTTTTTTTTTAACAGTTACACGTGCATAGTACCGTGCACCATTCAGCCATAAGGGAAGTACACAAGGCATCTGTCCTCACCGCCTTCTGTCAACATCTTTTACACTTTTTCTGATGTTCAAGCCCTATGTGCCTCGCAACTTCCTGTGAACTGGATGCTCCACACCTGTGCAGGCTTGCTAAACTGTAAAAAGTGTACACCATTAAGTCTGCTTTCTGAAGCGTGGCACATCTTGACAGAACGGAAAGCAATCGGCAACATGGCAACAACCGCAGGAGGAGGAGGAGGAGGAGAACGAGGAGGAGGAGCAGAAGAAGAAGAAGAAGAAGAAGAAGAAGAAGAAGAAGAAGAAGAAGAAGAAGAAGAAGAAGAAGAAGAGGAGGAGGAGGAGGAGGAGGAGCAGTAGTAGTAGTAGTAGTAGTAGTAGTAGTAGTAGTAGTAGTAGTAGTAGTGTAGGAGGTAGGAAGTTCACTGCCTGACCTGTATCTCTGTTTGGAACTCCTTGTCACCGTTTGTTTTCATCTGCCTTTTCACAGCTGCCTGAGTGCCATCAGCAAGGGCAGCCTGCCCACATAGAATGATAACTCAGGGTCAGCAAGTTATCAGTTTTACATGCTTCACTCCAAGCCTGGTTGTGATGAGCATTACTCTGAACTGCTAACCATAAGAAAACCGGGTTTGTTATCAAGACCAGATGCATGTCTGAGGGGGACACCATAGCAGCTTTTGTAAGAAAAAGAAAGGGAGAAAAGAAGCACAGAGGTAGACGAGGCCCCTGACATACCTCACACACACTTCCCCACCAAAACATACATACATACATCTCCAGGATGTCTGGTCTAAAGAGAAGTGTTGGGGGCAAAGAACATGCATGCACTGTCTACATACAAGATTTCAGTTGTTCTGAGATGAGCCACAAGCACATGCAGACATTGACACTGGTACAATGCTGAATAAATTTCACAACAAACAAAGACTAATTAGTAATTTTAAATTTTATTTTTTTATTTGTTTTAATTTGTGCTCCCTTTAACACGAATCTCTTGCTTCTCGTCATCCTCATCTCCATTCTATTCTTCCTCATTCTTCTTGCTTCTCTCTCCATATGTGACTACCATCTTCACCCGAATAAAACGCCCGGTAATTATCACTGCATCCGGACTGAAGTTGTGCCAAATGCAGCTATAATGACCGGCCGTTCTATTCGGGTGAAGACCGTAGTAGGAAGAAGAGTATAAGTAAAGTCAGACGTCAATGAAGTCAGGGCATACGAAGTGGAGTCTACATGGTCGGAGGCAGTGGAAGAGGGTGAAACTTTGACTGACGGTTGCGCCACCAAGTACCACAGACGACTATCTCATGTTCTCCCTCCTAAGCCTCCTCACCTTCTCCGCCCTTTGGCATACGTTACGATTTTCCGTCCTGCTGGCTTCTTCCAGTGTGGTGCCATGGGCTTCATGACGATGCAAGATGTGAAACAGGTTTGCAGCCGGGAGATGATGACTGCGAGAAGAGGAGGAGGAGGCGGTGGAAGAGAAGAAGAAGAAGAAGGAAGAAATGGAGAAGGAAGGACAGAAGGAGGAGGAGAAGAAGGCGAAAGATACTAAGGAAGGAATGCCAGATGGCCTCTGCCTGTTCGGCCTGCGAACACCTATGTGTACACTCGCAGGCCCAGTAGAAGCAGTTGATACGTCCACCGGCCATTCCCTTTTGATTGTTGCTAACTTGCCACTTAGGGCAGTAGGGAATGATGTGGCCCTCTTTGCTGCCCTCTTTGCCGCACTTAAAACACTACCATCTCTCTCTCCACTGTCGCCACTGCGACTCTGACAGTCCCATCTGCTTCTAAGGCTCACCTTGTTCAAACCCTGTATGCGGAAGATAACATGGGGCACGAGGTGGAAATTACATATTTCTCCCATCCCCAGTGGAAATGGACCTTCACCATACCTATATCGGGGTGGGAAGTTGCCGCGAACACTTCTCCTCTGAGGCCCTCCTCCACGGGCCGTGGCGGCACCATGCTCCCCTCCCTGATGCCTGCACCTGCTGTTGGAATTGAATTCCATCTGATCATACGGCAGTTGCTTGCCCTCACCATCCTCCCCCTGCTTGTGCTTCAAAAACCTTTTCCACTTATACATCTTCTCCCTACCGAGATCGAAAAAAAACAGCGCATCTGCCCCGAACTCCGCGTAAAATTCAGATTCCCGAAGGCCCCCACGCCCCGGAACAAAACAAAAAACCCGTGTATAAGCCCCCCGCGCCCCCGAACAAAACAAAAAACCCGTGCATCTTCCCCCTGCCCCAGGTAAAATTCTGTCCGCCGTATCAGGAAGGCCTGCCGTTTCGCCCGCTGCTCCTCGCATGGTCCCTGGGCCCGTTTCGGCCTTTCCCAACAGTGGCGACGGGTGCTCGCGTGGGACCGTCACGCGAGACCCTCAATTTCCTTTATAGTATTAGAGAAAAAAAAAAACTATGCATGCCCAACCTCTGATTGGACATGCAACAACCATATTCATAGATGAACTATATGCACGCCAAGCCACAGGAGCCCTTCCTTACCTTATATACAGGCCCATAACCGCCTTTTCCGAGCAGCACGCTGAATCCTCTGGTGGCAGTGTTCATTTCTTCATACGAGAACTCTTGAAGGTTAAGACTCGTACTGGGAGGCACATAGCTGGGTGGAACCGGCGTTCCCACTGCACTGGGTGCCGAGGGAGCATACACTGTGTTGGTGACTGTCACACGGCAAACAGCAACCACACCAAATCGAAACAGTGAAAATGAGGCATCGTACATGGACGCTGCACAACTGTCACGCGGTGGACGGCAGAACAACCAAACCAAATGCCTGAAAAATGAAAGATGCATCACCGGCAGCAATGACTACATGGACAACCTCATCAACTAACGGGACACAATGACGACAACCAGCATGAAGAACATCAGCATCTGTGCAGCTGCCACATGGCGACAGCAGAACAATTAAATCAAAACAATGACGACAATGCATCATGGCGATGACGACAAGGACGACATCATCGACTACCATGCACTGAAACACATGAAAAGAAGAAGAACATCACCAAAAAAAAAAAAAAAAAAAAGAGGAAGAAGAAGAACATCAGTTACTGCATCCTGCCACATTGCGACGGCAGGAAAGATCAAATCAAAACAATAAAAACTATTAAAAAGTAACAAACCATACATTACCACCATGCTCATCAGTGATTAGGCAACCATGACAAGGATGACATCACAACTCCCATATAACATGATAATAACAAGAACACTCAGGTTTTCTAAAAATTCTTGGTTTGTTCTCAAAAAAAAAAAAAAAAAAAAAAGATAATATTATAATAACAAGAACATTGGTGGCTGCACAGCTGCCACACGACAACAACCGAACAATCAAGATCAGAAGTTCAGAACAATGGAAGCAACTCACCACCAAGAAGCTTATCAGTGGTTGCCATGCCAATGACGACCCCTCACAATAACAACAACAATAAAGATGATGGCATGGAAGTCATCGATCTTGGATGGTAGCGATCTGGAAATCCGGACAGGCATACAGTGGTCCATTCTGGAATAATAGGGCCTTATTTTTTAGCGGCCCTGTCTGTTCTCCAGACAGGGCTGGGCAAGGGCCTGCAGGAATGGCTTTTCCTTTGTTTCCCCTCTGTTATGACCCTGGCCAATTTCGAGATACACATCCACTGGAAAGTACAATGCCATCCAATTGCAGAAAGAAATGAATGAACTTGAGAGGAGAGAGAGGAGTAGAAGAAGAAGAAGAAGTAAGAAAGAAGAAGMWGAAGATGTACACCAGCAAAGACAATGACAAGGCTCTTCTTCTTCGCCCAACAATCTCCTCCTCCTTATCTCMCCCCCCTTCTCTTATTCAYACAAGAAATAATAATACAATGTTGAATGACTGGTCCAGAATCATGTCCGAGTCCCTTTTCTACTGCAGGTATCACTCAAGGTCCACCATAGCCATGGCCGC